TTAGAATCTAGTCTCCAACTTATGATAAATTAGGCATTTTAGTTTCTAAACTATATTGTGTTCATGATTTCATTTAACTATATTCTTATTTAAAATAAAAAGGTAAACAATATTTACTGGTCGACATGACCTTTGTACAACAGTCATATTGTTATAATTTTCACTGAAATGTTTTTTATAAAAATCTTTAACGTTTATTTATTAATCAATTAGAAAACAATCAATATAAAAGTAAACAACAAAGAAGAGAGAAAGTTTTCTTTGATTATCGTATAAAATCAAGTTTATTTCCAAAATTAAGTTTATATATATATATATATATATATATATATATATATATATATAGAGAGAGAGAGAGAGAGAGAGAAGGAGGAAGGGGTAGGGAAAGAGTGAGCATTATTGAGATTCGAACTTAATTATTAACCACCCCTTTGGTATTATTGAATAATATAGTATAATTGATATTTTATATAATAAAAATAATTGATTATTGTAACTATCGAGTTTATTAATTTTTGAAAATCGATTTAACACCTTTATATTCAGTTGTCTACGCATAATTTTTTTAAAATGTTTCATAAAATCTTTTGTTTCCAATTAAATTCATTAGTTTATTTAATATGTATCATTTTAATTTTTAATATATTCAATGTACAATGTAAGTGATTAACTTTAATTGATGCATTCAGTTATAAAGTATATAACCGTTTATTATTTCTGAATGATAAGAATTATATGGTTATCATATTTATGCTACCATTATAAGACTTATGTGAATTTCTGAGATTTTTGATTAGGAATAAAAAAGAATTCAGTGAAGAAATTTTTTTCTTTCTGACGAAATCATTTACTTAAGCTATAGTTATATGGAAAATATATGTTTATAGACGATTCGTTTAATTTCTTATCATTTCTTGGCTCTAATTTTCTTTAATGGTATGTTTTGGATACTTTTTTTTCTTGGTTTTCTCATTTTTATTTGACTGTTATTTATCTTTCAAATTATTGTTTCGTAATTTTTTTAAGCTCTAATCATTTGCTATTATTGGATGCTAGCTCAGTGGTTTGGAAGTTAGGCGTTTGTTCGCGAGACCGATAGGTCCTGGGTTCGAATCTCGTAAGGCAGGATTGTGAATGCTCACTGCTGAAGAGTCTCACAATAGAACGAAACAACCGTCTAGTGCCTTCACGTTTTGTATGTTGATCTAACTTTGATTGCCTCATGATCTGAACTATTGAAATTATTATTATTACCGTTAAACAAATTTGCTTGATTGTTATTCAGTTTATATTATTATGACCTTCATGTTTGTCGTTTTTCTTCATATCTGAAGGGGTTTTGTGGAGATTTTTAATAATTTTATAATTGAATTCATGAGTCATAGAAAATCTTGAAAGCACTAGACGGCTGTTACGTCTTAGTATGGGACTTCTCTACAGTGCGCATCTTCATATCTGTCAATTAGACAATTATCCGACCCATAATTTCTTTTTTTTCTTACCCCTTGGTTAGTACATAACCTCATTTGATAACGAGAGTTTCCAATCAATCTATAATGCAAACATTTCTATTCTTCTATAGACATATATTTTCCATATAACTATAAATGCAAATGTAGAGCATAAGTAAGTGATTTTGTCGAAAAGGAATTTCTTTTGCTGAATTCTTTTTTGCTTATTCAATGACTATGTGTTATTTTAATTATACTTTACCTTGTTTAAAGAATCAGGTTTGTTTATTTCTGATTTCTATTTTTTCGTAAGTAAATGGAAACATCTATCTTATCTCGATATTTTGAAATACTGATGACAAACACTGTAGCATAAAATGAATTCTTATTGTTACGTCGACCCAATAACATACAAGAGAGAACTTGTCTCAATCTAGGCTACGATCGTGACACGGTAGGCTTACTTATTTAATGTTGAGGCTAGAAATGAATGATTCAGAATTGAGAACACCGGTACTGGGCAGAGAGCCGAAAACTATCAACTGATTAATTGACAAGTTATAGAAAGAAAGATGAGTTAACTAGAACGAATACCATTTATTTCGCGGTTATTTTTGTATTAAAACTTTTTTTATTCCTTTCTGTTCAATGAAATGATTAGTTTTAAAATAGTGAATACGTAAATTTCTGATATATTTGATTAGATTTTCCTTGAATATTAAAACCAGTTGTAGAAATATTAAAAACCAATGAAGACTATAAACTAATTTATTTTTTTTAAACCTGTTCAGAAAAAAATGCATGTACAACTACTTAAAACAGATTAGACACACAATTCTTATTTCTTAACTTTGTCACTAAACATTTTCATGCTTGGGTTGTTATAACGAGAATGATTTTGATGTATAATGATTTATATCAGAAGGGTGTTTTTGTGGATATGTTAGTAATTAATAGTTAGGATCGTGATTCAATTAAAGCTGGGCTATCATGGGAAACCTAGAAGCACTGGACGGCCGTTTCGTCGTTCGATTTCGTAATTTAGTTGAAGTTAGACATTAACACCGTTGGATGCCAACCGACTCAGTGGTCTAGAGGTAAAGCGTTCTCCCGCAAAATCGACAGGTGCTGGGTTCGAATCCTGAGAAGCGGGATCGTGAATGCGCACTGCTGAGTAGTCCCACAATTGGACAAAACAGCCGACTAGTGCTTCCAGGTTTTCTATAGGGGTTTAACTTCAATTGAATCATGATCTCAACTATTAAATTAATATAAAGATTTGTTAGAAAATAATATTAAATTCTATAGAAAAAATTATTACAATAATGGATCAAATCAAAAATGATTATTATAGAAATGAACTAGGAGGCAATGTGAAAGTAGTTTAAATAAAGATTTATGCAACTTAAAGTCCAGAGAGTTTGGTTAAAAAGGTAGGAAATCCATGTCTCTTTAAATTTCAGGTTAGACTATATTTGTAACAAATGTGTTTTTAGTGCATTGGCAATATTAAACTAAGCAGCCAATTTTACTAGATCCATTCATTTAATATGTTGAACTGAATAGAAGAGAATGCTTCAAAATACACTATTATTAGTTCGTTGAATAGTGTATCTTTGAAAATGACTGAATGATTCAAAATCCAAGACGTTTTTATGAAAATCCTATCAGGATAATAATATTTGACTAGTTGGAATAGTGTAGGTTTTTCCATGATATGTACATAGTGGAATATCATATCATTTTTCAACACATTATTTCATTATTTCTTTCTTATTATTCTAGGTATAAGATTACTGAAGACACCTGGAGATGACAGTGAGTTTGTCATTCTACATGGTTCATTAAATATCAAACGATATAATCTTAAACCTATAGCAAATGTTATAATTCACTTTAGAGTCATTATGTTTATATAATGATGAAGTTAATTTCATATTATATAATTTGAAGTCCAAAAACTCTTTGTTAATGGAAGACAATGTCTCTAATACTGCTTTCATGAAGCGTTCTTTAAACTGTTCATATAATTATAGGAATGAAATTAAAATCAAATTCATTTTGTATATTTAGTAATGTAGATAGGTAAAAGTATATAAAATGCTACACTAGTCTACTGACTTTCCATGGCAAAAGATTGTTTAACATCTAAGATTAGCCAAAACATTGTATTAATTGAAGTTAGATATAGTATACAGTATACATAGCAAAATCCTGAAGTTTATATGTCATGTCTTTAGCTTATACGATTATCTTGAAATACGACTGTCAATTTAAATACACTGGCTTATATGACCAAACTACATCAGTACAGGTAACCTAGAGTTCTTATTAGTCCTTTTTCACTTAGCTCTACCTGTTAAGTCCAGAATGCCAATCTCAACCTCTGCGATGCGAGTCGAATATTTCAAACGTGCTAGGTTTATGCAAAAATAAATCAGACCAGATCACACCATAAAATAAGAAATGACATTTGTACAAGATCAAACCAAAAGTGGCTATGACTGTGAGAAACTTTGACTGACAGATTGAGAACAGCTTGAGAATAGTAAATTATGTAACAATACCAAACAGGTCAAATAAAAGCTTATAATCAAGAGAATGTGAATATACATATAATATGTTTAATTAATAGTCATGCAATAAGAATATTTTCGTTCAGATATATAGCTTGACCAAATCATACTATTCATGTCAGATAAACATCGTAGGAATTAGTGGAATTCCACTTACTTTGCTCTAAGATCTCTGTCTAGCTACATTGCTTCTTCACTCAATCAGGTTGTCTGCACAAATATATTGCAAAAACATTTGAGAAATTATCTAAGGCTTTATGGGACCTAGACATACAATGAATAGTGGTTTTTACTAGAAATGAGCTGTCCTAATGGGCATAAAAATCAGTTATTTGACTAAAAACAAACTCATCAAGTATGTTAAATCAGCATATGTATTTGATTCTTTTATTGAACTCATTGACAAATCGGAACATCTCCACTGATTGACAAACAGAAATTATTTATCCATAATAATTACTTGAAAATTTAACTAGAAATTATCCACAGCTGTGTGGTTTGTTGAATGATCAATATTAATATGAACAATTAAGGTTTTAAAAAGGTAATCTGTTAGATCCCGACGAGAGTTATGAATGGTACCTTTTGGGGACTATTTATGGACTAATACTATACGTATATTATCATTGTATAATTGTTAAGTAACTAAACTATTGATGTTCGTGTTACTCTTATTATAAGCATTATTTTGACCTATGAACTATTATTATACGATTTACCATTCTTGAATTATGCCCAGTCTATTAATTAGTCTCCCATATTCATAGCCAGTTTTGACTTGATCTCGTGCAAATGTTGTTTTCTATTTTGTGGTACTATGTGGTCTGCTTGGTTTGTATATAAACCCAGTATGTTTGAAATACATAATTTATATCACAGAGGCTGAGATTGGTGTTCTGAACTTAACAGGCAGGGCTAGGCTGGAAGAACCTATAATTCATTGTACACAAGGCCGCAAGTTATAACATAATCCATGACTGAAATTATTACAGGTAATCATAAACTGTTTATTTACTCTTATATTATCTTTTGAAACAATATATGTGTAGTTCAATTTGCAAAGATTTTTAAACGTTTACCTAGATTTAATAATAATAATAGTTTTTGTATTTTGGAAATAATAAATACAGAATTCACGCCAGTTTACAGGTATGATGAATTCGGTATAAACAGTATCATTATATTTATATAACAAACATGTGATAGAAGAAAGTTTTAAGTATACTAGTTCAGTAATTGTTTAGGTATTACATGTATTACAGCGATCCAAGGCATTCGCCGGAAACTTAATTTTTCTTAAATGGAAAGCCTGTTGTTTTATGAACGGAGTAATTAAGGTCATTTCCTGTGCCAGACCGAATTAATGATAGTTATATACAACTAGAGAAATTAAAACGAAAACAGAGAGCACGGGACAATAAAGCAGGAATTACCGAAATATGTCGATCAGATCTACCGAAACGCCTATGTCATGTGACATAGTGATATACTGTTGATGTTATTCAAATTAGTTAAACTTGTTGGGAACGGTGTTAACATAAAGTGACAGCAAGTAGGTGGTTTTACTTAGGGAATGCACTAATAAAGATGGCTAAACATTTAAAGTTCCTATAATATCACTTGTGGAATGAGATACACTTACAGGTGCTAGAACATTCAATGCATTTTCAGAGGAGCAGTATGCATCGATGCAGAGCACAAATAATAACTGACTGATTGATTAATTCTCAATATTATCTAATGCATTTTTTCTTGAAAGTTCTTCATATTTAAATGTAAATAAAACTGAATTCCTAGTATAGTGTCAATCGTTCATGCTCGAAACCTAAGGCCTAAGGTTCCAGTCTAGCATTTAGGACTGTGTGTGTCCGTTCAAAGGAATCTCATACTGTGAAGAAACGGTCGCCTTAAGCTACCAGGTTTTAAATCAGTTTATGATCTCAATAGAAAACTAGATTTATTTTTAATCATTATATAGTAAACAATTATGTTGAAATAGATTTTCATCGTTAATGATCTACATTTTTCACTTTTATACATACATTTGAACGAAAAGATAATTATGGCAACACTATAAGTTATGAACGTACCAATCACGTATAAGATAACAGGTCTCAGGTTTTTGGCGCGAATTCCACTCATCCATTTGGCTAAATAGATTTTTTGGCAATATAGATTATGTCAATTCGTGATGAAAACCCGAAATCTAATTCCTAACCTTAATCATCAACTGTAAATCATAATTCTAATTCGTCAAACCAATTTATAACCCTCATTTGATCTTAGTTATTAGGTGGAGACTCTCAAGGTTAGTCTGGCGTCGCTCAAAGGTCGTCCATAAATTATGCTCTCACTATAATTACTACTAAGTAGTTTAAACATTCTTAATTAATAAATATTTTTGTTGGTCAATATACTTAGCAAACAATCCTAGCATGAAAAAAACAATTGTCATTTCTTTTAATTATATTTAATTTTTTTATTGAGATTAATGTTAGACCGAAGACCCTGGGTTTGAATCCTGTGCAAACTCACTTCTGAAGAGTCCCATGCTAGGACGAAACGCCGTCCAGTGCTTCCAGGTTATCAATGGTGGTCTAAGATCAATCGATTCCCGATCTCAATCAAAAAAATTAACAACTTCCACAACCTCATACTGATATATCTTTTTTATTGATTTCAGATAATGAGATTGAAGATGATTTTAAAAAAATTATTGATATGATAGACAATCAAAGTTTTGGTCCGTCAGATGAAACAGGTATTTAAAGTCATAATAACTCATGTGTGAGTACTAATATTATTCACCAATTATTGGCATAAATTAGTATCTGTCAAGTTGAAATTATTTGAATATATTCCATAATTATTAAAAGAACTTTCATAAACTTAGTGGCCAATAGCCTCATTTAATTTATAGAGCTATATTATAGATTGTGCTACTGATGTCGACAGATATAAGTCGTATGTATCATGAATCGAATGTGAAATGCCTCGAGGCACAAGGTTAGGAAGATTGAAGAAAGGAGAACAAGAACAAAGAATGATTAGTGTGGAAATGAAAGAACAATAAAGTCTGAGATGATTAGTTGACATTTTTGCAAATGAAGTACGTTATTGAGAAATCTATTATGATCCTGGACAATTAATGTCGACAATTCCTTCATGTAACATAATTTATCATGATGAATAAAGTTACTTCGATGTTGTTTTACAACAAGTTTGAGAAAAAGATTTTGATATATTAAAGTTCATTTATTCAATTATGTTTATCTTAGGGAATTCCTAAATCGAACGTGATAAAAATGTTTTACGTAAAATGTTTATAACCCTCGTTTAGAAACGTGAAGTAATTTTAATTAGGATCATGAATCGATCAATGTTGGAGCACTAATGAAAACAGTGGATGGCCGTTTCGTCCTAGTATGGAACGTCTCATCAGTGCGCACCCACGATTCCGCATGTAGGATTCGAACCCAGAACATTTGGTCTCACGGGAGGACGTTTAACCTCTAGACTATTGAGCCAGCATCAAACTGTGTCATTGTCCAACTTCAACCAATCCACGATATCACACGACCATCTCAATGATCTCCACAACCCTATACGGATGAAATAATTTATCAGTTTTTAAGTTTGAATGACTTTTGTTGAACAAAATCAGCTCTTCAAATTTTATAGATCAGTAGTTGACAAAAAGAGGCAACTGGTTGGATCCCAAGAAGCGGAATAATATTTTTTACTGTCTAGTGTTTAAATGATCACTAAATTTGTTGAAACGTGTTGTTTGAACTTAATCTATGACTGCATAACTACTTTTAAGAAAAAAAGAACAATTTTCCTGTTTACTTTAGATCCTCCAGGCTGGGAATCAGATACCAGATATGAAAAAGAAATACGCATTGGTAAAGTGAAGAAAGGAGGAAAATTGGGACCAGGTTAATTTTAAATTGTTTTATTATCAAAATAAGTCTATTTGTAAACATATTTCATCTGGCTAAAATCATATTATTTCAATTACTGATATAATACAGGATATAATTATACTGTCTACCTACATCTAAAGTATCTAAATAAAAAGCTGTTGAAATTAGTACATTTGAAACAGGTAATCCAATAATGATCAGTCAAGTGTTCTGTTTCATATTAAATGAAGTTTTAAGTGTTAGCATTTCACTTAAAGTTGGAAAAAAACCATTTTGCAGTCCTTTAAACAATAATTCTTTAAATATTATAATGAATTCCCCTCCTTCAACAATAAAGTAGAAGAATGATTAAAAACAAAATGAAATACAAACCACAATCACTAAATTGATAGTCTATTTAACTTACTAATATGTTATCATTTACCTCATTTGTAACACACAAAACAATTTCATACACGTATGTATGAATAGTTGATAGTCTTATATGTTCTTTTTTTTACGATACAACTAAACCATAAACTGACAATCTCGTCGCTTTTTCAACTAAGTCTTAAAGTCAGTATGTAGTGATGATGACAGTCGTGAAAAAAATCACCATTTAGCATGACATTATCTTGTAAACGTGCTTTGTTGACATTGACCATACTTTTGTGGATCTAGGCTACATACCGTCAGAATTTACGTAAGGGTTACTTAAAGAAACTCTGCTTGGAGCCCCTGTAAGGCTACTGCCGGTTTGAAGCCCAGATAAAGGATGAGGGTTGGACATAGGGATAACGGCCCAATTCCGTAGAAAACTAACTCGCTAAAAAATCGTTAACCAGAAAAGAAATAGTCCAAACCATTTATACTTTTCCCTCGGAGTTAGAAAGTCTTCACTACTCAATGAGATCATCACCCCAGTTTAATATAATTTTGGTGTAACCTGATCTGAAGCTACAGAAAAATCTTTTAATTACGTCTATCTGTACTTTATTGATTGGTGTCATACTACAGTCAGTAAAGCTGGGGTTTTTACTGATATAAATTTTCAACTAACCAAGATAGAAAGCAAATTTAAACAGTGAATAATGATCTCGCATTTAAAAAAAGATAGATATTGAAACTGTTCAAACATACAAATAGATTCATCTGTTGTCATGTTTGCAATAAGAAGTGAAGTTAATGGCTTTACGTTCAGCCAGGATAAATAGCTTCAGAAATCTTATATTAACTTATGTACTTGATGATGATAACCATATTATCACCAATTCAAAGACTTGGGACTAATTAAACAGGACAAATACATCCAACAAATAAGAGTTGCTGACTATGAGTTGCATTGAAATAAAGTGAAATAAATGGTCAAAATTCAGTAAATTAAGTTTGCTTATAACAGTACATATAACGTTCATAATATATGAGAATTGGTATATAGGTTAAGTCGATTATGATCATTATTCTCCTCACTGACATTCATTACTTTTTCCCTGTGGCTGTGATGATATCTTAGTACCTGGTCCAAAGTAGGTAATTTTCCTAGAGGAAACACTTTTTCAACTTTTAGTCGGAAGATTTAATATATTAGGCATCTGAGTAACGTGAGACCATGCGATCTCATGAAAGTTAATCACCTGAATACGTACATACATAACGTTGATTCTTAATCAAGGTTTTCAATTTTTCTTAAGCACATCTTCCATGATAGTCAATCACATTTAATCATCGTAAATCAAATGTATAATATCATAAGTAAATGTAGTCATTGAGCACGCTGACCAATATAAAAGACGAGACTATAATTTATAGACGAGCCAATCGGAAGCGTTTGGGGGATTTCAAGGTCACAGCGCCAATTTCAGTACCTGATGCTCACGCACGATTGGTTTACAGTGGATTTTAGAAAAGACGTGATAAGTGAGTGGCTACAACAAATGGGATTACTAAGAAGTTCCTCTATTTGTGACTGTGGTAATCAAATGACTGCTGTGTCGTGTGCAGACTACCGTGATGAGATTGTCTTTCTATGTTATATATGTTAGAGGAAGAAGCCTGCTAGAACAGGAACTTTCTTCGCACGATCCCGATTGAAACTAAGACAAATCATGATAATTGTTGCGAATCGGATAATAAAAGCACCAGTAACACTGGCTGTAAGATTTGAAGAAGTTACTGAAGCTTCAGCTGTTCACTGGCATGAGAGATATGTGTGCAATAAAAATGACAGGCTTACACGAGTCGTTTGGAGAATCGTTGAAATAGACGAAACAGTAGTCAGGAAGCGAAAATATAACAGAGAAACTTTCAACGGGTCAGAACCCTACAGGCAACGACCATAATATCACTTTTACGGGAACATGTACAGCCAGGCACTACATTATATATAAATGATTGGAGAGCGTACAGATGCCTGCATAGACTTCGTTATGTGCGTCATATGGTTATCCATAAGCTCCATTTTGTGGACCCTACAACCGGAGTGCACACTAACAATGTTGAAGCTATGTGGTCGAGGCTGGAGGAGTTTTTACGACCTTATCATAGCTCAAGAGACCGACTGATATGGAACCATATAGATCAGTTCCTCTGCCGTATGCATTGCGATTTCAGAACCCCCGAACCTCTTTCTAACCTTGAGATGTTTTTGAACCATGTAAAATAAGTGTATCCACTTTAATTCTTTGGTTTTGTATAATATATTTTTACTTAACTAATTGTTTTCTGATTGGTTAATATTTCTCAAGGTTACCCAAGATTTGTTGAAAGGTCGTCCATAAATTATAGTCTCGCCAATTGTTTTTATAAATCTAAACATCTCAATTAATTAAAAACATTGTGATTTCAAGGAACTTCATTTGGTGTCATTATCATGAAATATGAACGTACTATTTCTTTATTTCAAAAAAGGTAAACGTATAGAGCGTGTAATATTAAAGAAGAAGAAACCTTTCGGTAAAAATGATTCTAGACCAGGTGATATTTTTATATTGTTCATAGTTTCTTTTTTAAATCTATAACTGAAGCATTAAATATTTATGTATTCAAATAGCATGTTTATTGTAATAAAACGATGACAGATAGTATTTTAGACAAGATTTATCAAAGAGATAAAACCTCAATTGATTGGTCACTGGGTGGTGATAAACGTCATGCATGTTAGATACTTCTTAGTGCAGATTGAATGCTGTCGACCAAGTAGCATTGTGGCAACTAGTCTAGGTGAATCGACATTGCGTGCACTATGTTGAGATAAGATAAAGGTTGGAATCAGTCAACAAGAAACCCTAGATCTAGGGTATACTTGTAATATTGAGGGAAATGTTGTTCCCTGACGGGTTCGATCACGTATTATCCAGCTTCACAGTTAGAGACGTGAGCAGAACACAAACTTAAAAATAAATAAATAATGTCTCGGTAAAATCTGAGAACCATACAGTAAATAATTCATTTACAAAATCTTCATCAATTGTCTTAGAGTTTATTGTTCCTTCCTTTCCATACCAACCACTGTCCGTTCCCATTCTCTACTGTTCTATCTTTTCAACTTTCTGTTGCCAAGATTTCCACTTTCGATTGATCTTACATACTACTTATATCTGTCGATATAAGTGGCACACACCACTATATTACCTGAGAAGATAGTAAATTGTTTATAAACACAGAGATATTTGAAATTTTGTACATTGAACGCTTCGACAAACCTAAGTTTACAGTCAATATCATTTTTCTATACGACACTATATTTACTGAATTTAAATCATTCCTGTTGTAGTGAACAAACACTGAGGTGGGGATAACCAATTGATTGCTAAATGAATACTCACACAGTGATTTAGTAAAATATGAAAATCACACATCCGATACATCCCTTGCACATTTTTTTAATTGTCTCTTACGAGTTTGATTGTTCCTTCATTCTTGCCGTTATCTTGATTGCTTTCAGTTTCCTTATCTTTTCTCTTTGTTTCAATATTCTCAACCTTCTGGTCGTAGACATTTCGCTTCCGACTAGTATTACAAATTACTTATATCTGAAAACACAAGTAGAATATACTACACTAATACTTGTATATAGTCCTTATATTCTTCATTATAATACAATAATTGTGGATTCTGTAACTGTAGTGACTAATAATAATGTTTCTGTAAACAACGGTTTTAAATTATCATTTTTTTATTTTCTACTGTTACGAGATTGGGAATAGATTTGAAAGTTGAAACCCTTTAGTTACACATTTAAATAACTTTATTTTAAAATCATAAGGATTCCTCCTCATTTACATACGCTTGCTTACAAATGTTAATTGGTAAACACAGCAAGTTATGATAGAATTCGTTACAAACTGAGTCTATGTTATAGCAACTATCCTACAACCAATTTCGATTACGGTTAATTTTGGTTAAACTCTTTTATTAACTTACTTAACAGACAATGTTAATTGGACAGTAGCAATTCGCATGTTTTTTTGCACTGCCGTCATATTCACTAGGTCAAATGATAAACTCTATCTAAAATGTTGATTGCTTAAATATCACTCGATGATTCATCCTCCTCCCCATGTATGTATGTACTCAAATTATATTATTAGTCTTTACTTTATCTTACTGCACTCTTATGCAATTCGACTATACATCTGCTTATGTAATTGTTCGCACATATATATCCACATCTCTGATACGAATTCGCTTGATGTGCTTATAGATTTATGATTTGCGCTATTCGTTAATAAACTGTAGTTGCTGCTTTTCATTGACTTCTGATTTAAAACACCGTTGAGATTTATATTATAACGATTATCGAGATGATCAATTAACGAAGCAAAGCCACTACAATGTAAAATATACACTGTCTTTTTAGTAACAATAATTTATATATTATTGAACATCTGCTCAAGTTGTCTGTGATATTTTTCACTTGAAATACAATGAATAACTATTTTTCTAACTATATGTATATCAGGTTTCTCAGATTGGGAATACACAGAGGAAGATGAGAGAGAACTACTCGTCAAAGAATAATCAACTATAAGAGATTCCATGTAAGTATTGCTAAAACATAATATAAAGTTAGTGAACTAACAAAATCTATTTTTGTTACAAACCAGGTCTTGTTACTGTATTCTACGATCCATAATGTTGAATTGATGATTTTTTGACGAAACTATAATTTATGGACGAACCAATTACGTAAAAGATAACAGGTCTCGGATTTTCTGCGCGAATTAAACTCACTAATTCGGCCAAATTGCGTTTTGACATTTTAGCTGATGCCAGTTAGGGATGAAAACCTTAAGTCTGATTCCTAAACTTAACCATGAACTGTAAATCATAATCTTAATTCCCTACACTGATATATGAGCATAATTTGGACACTCTCAAGGTTAGTCTGGCGTCGCTCAAAGGTCATCCATAAATTATAGTCTTACCGATTTTTTTAGAAGAACTATAAACGTGTATAAAAGAAAATTCATATCTTACTACATGTTGAAATGCACCATCTTTTAACATGCCTAGGTTTCGATGATTTATTGTCACAATATTTAAGACCAAGTACTTTGATTCATTTTTTTCTTTAAAAAAATCCTGACCATTTAATTTAGTAGTATATGGTGTTAGAGTTGAATGTTTAGTGCCATTAAAAGTTATATAACTCAGCATTTATTATAATGTCGTAAAAGCATTTACACTCAACACATACTAGACATAATCATTATTTTTATGCTTCCGAATTCATTTACATACGACAGTTCAGATTTATCAGCTTATATAATTCACTTTATCATAAAATGATGTAAACCGTGTCTGGGTTGAACTGAAAGATCTTAGTATGTTTGTATTCTATATGCACAAAAACTATGATATGAGCCACTTTTATCCACATAAGTAGTATAAAACGATAGTCAAGAATCGAATGTATTTTAGTAGAAGGTCGAAAAGGAAAGAACGGGAAGTAATTGGTATGAAAATGCAGGAAGAATGAGATCTAAGACGATGGACTGATATTTGCAAAAGAAAAAATTAAGTTGGAGACAATTGATTGATATTTTGCAAATGAAATATTTACTGTATGGTTTGCAGATTTTAGTGAGATGTTCTGTCTCCACTCTTATTCTTGTTCCCTAAAGTATTAGCAAGTACATAGATATTTATTTCGGTGTTCTACATTTTAAAGAAATTTATTAGAAAATCGATCTTCCGAAGTGATTATCCTTAAAGAATAAAGTTATGTGCAAGTTCATTAATTACTAGATAATATCGTTAAAAGACATGAAGATCTAAGGTTATATTTGTGTGATATTATTAGTGTGCTATATATATTTAAAAGCTAACTTCTTTTTGTCTATTTACAGTATATATTTAAAATAAGAGTAACTCTTCTCATAAGTTATAATTGAACATTCAACACTACTTCTACTGATAAAATCTGGAAAGAGCAAGAACAAAGATTCTAGTAAAATAACGTGAATTCATTTTTATTTCGTCGATTCTCGTCAGCTGCTTACAACCTGTGATATTTGAGTCATAATTACATAATGGGTTTAAATTACTGAACATGTTGAATAACTCAATCAAAGGTTGACAAGCACCCCTTTCATGTTACCGCTAACTGTATTTATAAATTTACATGTATCGCCTGCCAAAGTAGCTACATTGGCCGAACAGAAAAGGAGACATATATTGGATTTTTGAGCATGTCCCAAAATGCCTCAGAACAAGAGAAAGAAAGACTGTAAGTAGTGCAATCACAAACATCCCCTTGATACAGGACATCAGGTCGATACCTTGTAATCCTTCAAGGTGATTAGTATTCAGCCAAACTCCAGTCTTTTGAAGTTTGCTGAAGCCGTTGCTATTAGGCATCAAAAACCTGAATTATGTGTCCAAAAGGAGATAGTTATTAGTTTTTCGTCACCATGGTGGCAAGTATTTCTTCGCTGAATCTTAAACTTTTTTATCTTTTCTAAATCTTTCTTGCATTTATTGCATCATTGAGTTTTTATTTCAACTATCTTCCAAATAAGTAATCTTATTCTATCAATTGAGCTCTACTCACTTTATTCCTATCAATGTTTACTTATTATGTAATCACTTGTTTCTAGCAATTTGAACTGGTGTCACAATCAATGTTGTAGAATTTTCTTTTACATAATGTACATTGTTACAATATTCCGTCTATTCAATTTATTTACACCATTGCTATACTATACGAATATGTCTTTAATATAACTTACAACTAAACCCTTTCATATGTCATTTCAACCCGTTCTGTAATAATGATTTGAAATATCACAATTTGTAAGCAGCTGACGAAAAGCAAACGAAGTAATATGTATTCATACTATTCTACTAGAATCTTTATTCTTGCTCTTAACAAAATGATAAACGGAATTATGTATATATGAGCTAAAATTTGGCATCTTTGATTTGTTTTGTTTTAATGTTTTAGAGGATGAAGAGAATACAAGATGAGAATGCTACATGATATTTAATGAAAGAAGATAACATTTAATGAATTGTTTGAATATAAATGATTTTAATTAAATTTACCAGTATATTTTTAATTATTTTTTTCCCTATTATCCTAATGCATTTTTCCTTGAATTATTGAATTTGCGGTAAAATGTAATCTTATTATTGTCATATAGTTTTTCTGTTCATGTTTTTATCTGGGCACCCGGACAGTATCACAGCCGACACATAAATCAAGTGACTTGTGTGGAGCATATGTATTCGGTGCCCCTTTGTATTAATATGTATGTGTTTAAACAAATAATAAATAATAAAAAACAAATTTATAAACTACTGACAGAGATTTACTTAAGTATGTGTACAGGTTAGACTGGTAATCTGTATTATCTATAATTAAGTAGTCACTTATGAAAAGCCTCATTAAATGATTCAGTCGTTCAACACATGAAATCAATCATCAACTTAAAACTCTATAGGGTGATATTCCCCATATACATATTGTGTAAAAGATATAATTCGCTGATTTAAAAACTGAATAAATAATAAAATATCGAAAGGGAATTTAGTTTAAATGTCTTAGTCTATGTTAAATCAAACAATTTTGAATTGTTTAAAATCGCTTAATTTTGCCGTCGTTTCTTACCTATCTGAAGGAAAACAGATCATTAGAAGTCCATTAACTTGAATGTTTATGAATTTTCTTAGTTCTTTGAAACTCATTTTTATATAGGTAAGGTATGAATAATTCTGGTTAAAAATGTTTTTGGAGGGTTCAAGCGTTCGAGTGCTCAAGTTGTATGCGGTATAATAAGAATCTAAGCTCTAGATATAACAACTGACTAACGGGTCAACTTATCAAGATATCATTTATTTTTGACCACATTGAAGAAAAACGTTACAAATAGTTCCTGGTTGTTATTCTAGAAGCTCTAACTCAGCAAATGAACCTAAATCAAAAGTTGATTACAGATGATCCGTTCGAATCCCACATCATTAATTCTATCCATGAATTTCATTCTGATGGTTTGGCTGGTGTTACATTTGAATCGTGGTTCAAGAAATACGAAGATGTGTTCAAGGTCGAGCTAAAAAGATTTATTGATGCCGCGAAGTCAGAGTACTGCTAAACAAACTTAGCACAGTTGAACATGATCGCTACACAAACTTTATTCTCCCCAAGAATCCCAGAGACCTTTCATATGATTCAACGGTTGTCTCAAATTTTTGGTTAACAGTCATCTTTGTTTAATATTTGTTACCAGTGCCTTAAGTTGGCAAAAGCTGTAGACGATGACTGGATGAAACATGCTGACATAGTAAATCATGTGTGTGTTTCGAATTATCAGCAACGACGGAAGACTAGTTTAAGTGTCTTGTTTTTGTATGCAGCTTGATGTCGCCTAAAGATGCCGACATCAGAACCAGAATTCTGAGTAAAATGAATAATGTCGAAATATAACGCTACAAGAGGTGACTAGTGAATGTTAAAGGTTGGTGAACTTAAAACATAACACGTCTATGGCTGAAAACAATGGCCGGCCACCATACGTACAGGTAATAAATGGCCAGAATGATTCTTTTGTACATAAGCGGCACAGATCAAACAATCAGCTTAAATCCTAGTGTTGGTTATGCTACAAGTGGCATTACAAGACATTTTGCCTATATAAAAACTACGGTTGTACTAAATGTCAGCATAAAGGATATAAGGAATCTTGCTGTAAAAACAATGTGTATCGTCGTCCACTGCGATTTCATTCCAGGACACACAAACCTCATGCATCAAACAGAAAAATAATGGTAGCACACACACGATCAGGACATAGTCGACGGAAATATGTAACTATCGGGGTCAACGGTCACCGTGCCCACCTGCAGCTCGATACTGCTTCCTTTATCACATTTATTAGCCAAAGAATCTGGAAGCATATTGGAAACCCTCAGGTGCTTCCAACAACACAGTCAGCTCATAGTGCATCTAGAGGTGAATTAATTTTTGTTGTGGAGGTAAGCTGTACAGTTTCGAAAGAAAATGCAAAGACGAATACGACATTAAATGTCACAGAGAGTTCAGTACAGGATTTTCTGGGTCTAGACCAAATACAAACATTTCAACTAGCAAACCACCACCAACAAACCAGCGGAGAAGAATCTAAGGAACGTTCTGTTGGAAAGACATAGTCAAGTGTTTACGGAAGAATTGGGAGAATGCAAAAATGTAAAGGCACTACGAATTCTTAAACTGAGAGCTACCCCCGTTTTTTCACCAAGATCTCCGGTACCTTATGCAGTGCTACCTATTGTTGAAGAACAATTAGAGTACCTGCAAAGAAGTGGAATCATAGAACCAGTGAATTTTTCTGATTGGGCAGCACCAATAGTGCTTGTTAAGAAGCCTAATGGACGTATCTGGCTATGTGAAGAATAATCGACTAGATTAAACGAAGCACTTGAAGCCTACCAGTGACCTTTGCTGTTAGCAGAAAACTAATTTGGGAAACTGAATGGGGGGAAATACTTTGCAAGACTGGGCCTATCAGAAGCTTATC